TGCCAATGAATATCTGTGGGGAAAGAGAGCATTTGCAGCATTGGGCGCCTCCAGTCATGTAGTTAGTCAATGTCAATAAATGGATCAAGATCTGTATCCTTGAAAAGCTCCCATTACACACTTGTTTTCTCACTAAATATCCTGACTGTCATGACTGGAACGGGAATTTCCAGACATCTGCTCTGTGTGAGAGCTTTGTTGTCTGTGTTTGGGAAGCTGAAGGGACAACATGGAGGACTCTGTAGTAGGCCAGTCTTATAATTTACTGCCAGGATGTTTTTGTGTCACTGACTTTGTTTGACTCTGCAGGTGAAAATCAGTGAAGCTTCAGTGTTGAAAATGTGGAACAGATTTGGAGTTGTCTATCTATGTCAGATAAGAGGTAAAAACTGCTCTGCAAACCAGGTGTTTTATTAGGGGATGACTGGAAATTTACCAGGAAAGAGACTGAATATGTAAAACAGTAAAAATCTGTTCATTTATTTCAAGTTTATATAAGTTATAAATACATTCTGTTTTAAAGCTCCTGTGAAGAACTCCAGTCTGTGTCAATTTTGCCGCTCCCTGTTGACAAAGCCTTCCCTGCTAACCTTGTTCTCTAAATGCTTAAGTAATGTCTTCTGACCATAGACTGTATATACTATGGACATCTTGGTTCTGCCTTCCACCAGTATATGGATTTAAAGCCGAAAAGCTCTTGGTAATTCTGCGTTTTTCTCCACTTCCTGAAACCACCACTAACACATTCGGCGGGAGAGTCGCTGAGATAATAACTACTGTACATGTCAACATCACAAGCAAGGGTGAAAAAAAATTATGTTCTGTGTAATAAGTTTCTAAAGTTTGTCCCCAGCCCCAGAAGGATGGCTGGCAGAGGTGGTATTTATGACCTGTACTGCAGCCAGTCACCAGAGGGTGCTGTTCTCGGGGTGGCTTCACCCAACGAGGAGGCAGACAGTGTCCACTCTAAAAACAATCTGTCCTTCTGACAATAAAAATCTCATCCTGTTGACTATTGACAGTCAAACATGTCATCGGTTGTGAATATTTCATGTGGAAATTATAAAACCAATGCTGTCTCTTCATCTGCCTGCCTGACACCTACCCTCTAGGCATTCAAAATTACAGTATAAAAACTGTCAGTCTTGTCACTGATGGATTTGTTTGCTTTTATACACTCACCGGCCACTTTATTAGGTACACCTGTCCAACTGCTCGTTAACACTTAATTTCTAATCAGCCAATCACATGGCGGCAACTTAGTGCATTTAGGCATGTAGACATGGTCAAGACAATCTCCTGCAGTTCAAACCGAGCATCAGTATGGGGAAGAAAGGTGATTTGAGTGACTTTGAACGTGGCATGGTTGTTGGTGCCAGAAGGGCTGGTCTGAGTATTTCAGAAACTGCTGATCTACTGGGATTTTCACGCACAACCATCTCTAGGGTTTACAGAGAATGGTCCGAAAAAGAAAAAATATCCAGTGAGCGGCAGTTCTGTGGGCGGAAATGCCTTGTTGATGCCAGAGGTCAGAGGAGAATGGCCAGACTGGTTCGAGCTGATAGAAAGGCAACAGTGACTCAAATAACCACCCGTTACAACCAAGGTAGGCAGAAGAGCATCTCTGAACGCACAGTACGTCGAACTTTGAGGCAGATGGGCTACAGCAGCAGAAGACCACGCCGGGTGCCACTCCTTTCAGCTAAGAACAGGAAACTGAGGCTACAATTTGCACAAGCTCATCGAAATTGGACAATAGAAGATTGGAAAAACGTTGCCTGGTCTGATGAGTCTCGATTTCTGCTGCGACATTCGGATGGTAGGGTCAGAATTTGGCGTCGACAACATGAAAGCATGGATCCATCCTGCCTTGTATCAACGGTTCAGGCTGGTGGTGGTGGTGTCATGGTGTGGGGAATATTTTCTTGGCACTCTTTGGGCCCCTTGGTACCAATTGAGCATCGTTGCAACGCCACAGCCTACCTGAGTATTGTTGCTGACCATGTCCATCCCTTTATGACCACAATGTACCCAACTTCTGATGGCTACTTTCAGCAGGATAATGTGCCATGTCATAAAGCTGGAATCATCTCAGACTGGTTTCTTGAACATGACAATGAGTTCACTGTACTCAAATGGCCTCCACAGTCACCAGATCTCAATCCAATAGAGCATCTTTGGGATGTGGTGGAACGGGAGATTCGCATCATGGATGTGCAGCCGCCAAATCTGCGGCAACTGTGTGATGCCATCATGTCAATATGGACCAAGCTCTCTGAGGAATGCTTCCAGCACCTTGTTGAATCTATGCCACGAAGAATTGAGGCAGTTCTGAAGGCAAAAGGGGGTCCAAACCGTTACTAGCATGGTGTACCTAATAAAGTGGCCGGTGAGTGTAGATCCATCAGTATAAATTTCATGCAAGCAGAGGTAAACTTCAAGCTGAGCACTGAGGTTTTAGCTACAGTATGTGATTGAAAACACCAGATTGATTCAAAATTTGCAGTTTATCGTGTAAAACAAAGATCACAAGCTAGAAGTTTATGAAAACAGCACTAAACATTTATGCTGATGAGATCATTGACACTATAGACAAAATCTAGATAATGGCTTCAATCTAACTGAGAATGTGTGGAAAAGAATGTGTGGGGTGTCAAAGTGGGAAATGATTGCGTTTTCTGTGTCTGTAGGGTCACGTACACGATGTGTGTAAAGTATACGATGTGTGATATAATAAGATGACTATAATTCTACAGCTAATGTAAAATAACAACAGCCACATAAAGTAAAACCATCAAGTATAGTATACAATAATGTTGCTGCACACTCTGATTGTACAAATGAAAGTGAAAATGTGAGTACAGATCTGAATCTTCATATAGCAAAGTGATGTATTGTGGAGAGACACTGCCAACACACAACAACAGATAAAGTCATCTCAAGTTTACATGCCGCTGCAACATAAACATCATATTTTTGTTATTTTGCCACTGAATGATAGAGAGCATTTTATGATCATATGTTCTGTAACTTTTTTACAACTCTTTGTTGCTCTAAAGTCTTTTCCAGCTGGTGCACAGAGCCCTGTAACACAGAGTGGGAAATATGTTATTACTCTGCCCAGCATGTTCGTGCCTTGTGCAATTGTGGGAAACAATGCTATGATCTCAATGTTTAACAGCCATTCAGTGATTGATTTGATACATTTCCAGATATAACAGAAAACTCCTTGAGTGATCACAACATATGATTTAGGGTCCTTCCCTAACTCTGTAATTAAAATACTTTTAATAGCTGGTTCTGCAGGGGCAGTGCTCCTCACTGATTAGGCTGTATTCAATGCTGCTTATTATCATTTATGTTAGAAGAATACGAGGGCTGACTAGTGCTATGGCAACTGAAATAGGCACTTGGTCCATCAGCAACATTTAGCAACAGCTCACTGACACAACTGTTTATATTGTTTACATGAATAATGTTTAAAGGACTCCATCTGCATTGATTAAACCAGGAAGTTAAGACTATCTGTTTGCAGTTGCAGCAGTTTAGATAGAAACAATAAATAACATCATTCAACAGAGCCAAATGTGATCTTGTTTATCATGAGCAACTTTGAATGTGTCAGCTTGAAGTGTAGCCCTGATGAAAATAGATGTAAGACAAAAATGAGGAGCTCATTCCCTCAGCAACTTGATGGACACCAACCCCCTTCCCACTGGTTTCAAGCATTAAAAGTTATAATAAAAAATATTCAATCTTGTCACTCGTGGTCTTGTTTGTTTTTATAAAATCGTAAAAGGGAACAATATATATGTTATTTTATTTTATAAACATAAAAAAACTCCTCACTTCACATATGCCTTTAAGAATTAATATAGTTTCAGTTAATTATTTCTTAATTGGATTTTATTTACCATTAATTTAAATATTTGGTAAATCCAAGAGCGTCTGCAGAGCTGGAGACTGTAGTTTCGGGACCACATTTCTTGGCCTTTAGCCTCAGCAACCCTTGTGTTGCTTCAATAGTTGCCGCTGCTCATAGCAACACCTGTTGCTGTTGCTTTCTTGCTGCCACAAGAAATGGCTGCTTTGCACTGTGAATATGCGGTTTGCCTAGCCAATGCATTTGGTGGTGCTGTAGGGGAGAGTGGGGTAAGATGAGCCATTTTTTGCATTTCGGATCACTACATCAAGGCAATCATAGTTTTGTCTCTAACTAGTGTATCTGTATATTTCAAGATGTTGTGCATCCCTGCAAACCAACAGAATGAGTATGAATTAAACATAACTGTCTTGATAATATAGCATGTCAAAAAAAGTGGTCTCCTATGGTCAACTTACCCCATGTATGGATGTGATTCAGAACATTCACAGCTGTATTTTTGAAAAGAAAAAGTAACACATTTCAACAATCTGACTGAAAACTCTGATCCTCTCATCAGACTCCTTTACTTTCTCAGTCGAACCACTGACTCAACTTACCCCTGAACTACTATGATGATTTTATAAGTCCTCTGATCTAAAATGGTGGACTTTAATGCTAGGATTTTGACCTCAAGTTGTAGCTCATAGATACCACAATTTAGGTGTAAAACAAATTTAAAATGATCTTTTTTGGTCTGAACACAATTCTAGTAAAACTTATGACAGACTAGATTCACTTTCAAGAGTGAAATTTGTTTTTTGTTGGAGATAAATGTCTAATTACGTCACCCATGTGCTTCTAACCTTCACAGACATGAATTGATGCCCATCTCCTAAATATTTAGTCACATAATCAATTTCTTTTACCATTTCCAAGCAACAGGGGGTGGCTCAACTTACCCTTTGGCTCAACTTACCCCACTCTTCCCGGAAATGCGGCCCTGAACCTGCTGCCGCTGTGTCTGCAAACACATGCTATGACACGTCGGTCTACACTCCAGCACAGTAGGTGGCAGTATTGTTCATTACAGCTTAGCACTATCCGACGTCGACCGGGTGAAGAAGTCGGTAATGTTGTTGTTACGTTGCCGCTCACGCTGAGTGAGAGCACGAGGAAGGAAAGCCTCTTCTTCCGTGTGGTTGAAAAAGAAAACAAAGTAAACAAAAGTTAACAGGTTGGACTCATTTTGAATCACAGTTGTTATTACAGTTAAAGCGAGAATAAGAGCGTTTAATCTCCCTTGTTTTTGTGAGGGTTTGAACCTCAGTAACAGCATTAACCGTTCACCTGCACCTTAATTTGAAGTCTTACCTGTTAGCATCGGCGGTTAGCCGCGTAAAAACCCTAACTCACCGAGGAGAAGTTTGACCGGCGGACCCCGAAGAACAACAGCGACGATAACAGCAGCTTTAAACACCGGATAAATATCCATTCAACACTTGTCTAATTAAAAAAAGAAGAACTAGATCGGGTTTGTTGCAGTGTTGGACATGTCCACTCTTCAGTTTGGCCAAAAAAGTCATGAAAACTCAACCAACAGATCAGACAGCGACTCAGAGGACGAGGTAAGATCACACTTTACACCGAAAATATACAAGTATGATTTTACTCTGACAACTGTTATGCACTGATAGCTACTGCTACGGTGGCCGAGAACCGCCACTGCTGCAAAATAAAAAAGAGTGCAAAAAAAAAAAAAAAAGACGTCACAGCGAAAGTTACAGATGAAGAAAAAAAAGTGTTATTTACTGCGAAAATAAAAAGATTCAAATAAAAAAAAAAGCCACAAAGGAAGTGAGCTGCTGGGGACCAATATTGATGATGCACCAGTATTTTACAATCCAGGCAAAGAAGACGAGCAAAGAAGTCAGTAGAAAGATTATTGTTTAATTTAGCTTCATGTGCTTTTCAATGTGTCATTTGGTTAGGCCATGTAGAGCCTGAGTAGATATGAAGTTGAACTGAAGCTAACACTACACCGGCATCCTCCAGTTCAAATGACACATTGAAAAAGTCCAGAGTTTCAAATGTTATGCAAACTCTCCAATTACATTGAAATCTTGATTTATTGCAAAAAAAAAGTTATACTGCAGTAAGCAGGTTTGAACATATGGCAGAGAACTGTTTAGTTGTTAACATTGATATCATGTACTGGAGGGCCTTTTTTTAATTCATACTGTATAAAACAGTCAAAGTTTGGATGATTCAAACTTTGCAAACACAGCGACATCTTGAGGCTTGTTGGAGTTATGGCGGCCCTCTAGTGACAGCCTGAAGCATAGACTCTCCTTGGTGATATCTCAGAAACAAAAGTTCAAGGAGCTTGTGTGTTAATAATGAGACTTTCCATTTAACAGTGTTTTTTCGATGAACTACAAATAAAAATACATGTTGTCATAAAGTCACAAGATCAAAAATTCATTTCGGATCTAGATCATTTATGAGAAAAGCCTGTTCAATAGTCATGTATATGTACTGACTGAGCTCGTCTTTTATTGTCATGTTTGATGTTTCTATAACAGTCTGTGAAGGTCTGATGTGAATCTAAATTAGCTGGTGCCTAAGGACACAATTTTGGAAATATTATAATGTGTAATTTCTTTATCCTCTCTTTATCTCACAAGCACTGGTCACACCATTTCAAAATTGTCAAAATTCATTTTTTTTTTTTTTTGAGTATCTGTGACTTCAAGCTATAAAGCTGTGACACCTTGTACTGTAGCTGTGTGGTTCACTCAAATAATCTGAGCAGCGGAGGAGAAAAAGTGTATGAATGTGATTGTAAAGGAGGATGAACTCAGTGAAGGCAGTGTACAAATACATCATTTCCTTTCATTTCTTCATCTGCTGCAGGACATGCATCCTTTCATGGTCCATGGTTTGTCACCCCAAAAGAGTAGATTTAGTTCACATGAGATTACTCGAAAAGCTAAAACCACCAACTTGGATTTTCTTTTTTCTCCACAGCCCAAGCTCCCCCTCAATCAGTTTTACCCGTATATCCGCTGTGCCCTGTGCTGCGGCTTCCTCATCGATGCCACCACCATCACAGAGTGCCTGCACTCATGTAAGTGACAGCAGAGATCTGCTTCGGCTCTGAAAGTCTTTTATGGTGATTCAACAAGCTTGAAAGTAACCATGTGGCATGATCAATTACATCACTGAATGGGTACATCTCAATTCTTCTTAGTTTCATCTTCATTTCCTTTCCTTACTCCAAAGTTTTTCCAGCTCCGCATGGTTAGACACAAGGAGAGCATGATAGGAGAGTAGAAAGAGAAATGTGATTGTAAAGAGAGAAGACAGACTGTACTCTGAAGCTTTTCGTGGATCAATGCTCCTGGTTCATGCTTTGATCAGAATCAGAAGCTTTGGAGAGCACGGAGATGACCGAGCTGTCACATCTGGAGATTTCAGCAAGAAAGAAACAAGGAAGCAGGAAATAGAGAACTGTGATGTGAACTGTGGGGAGATTTGTGGACTTGAGTCGTAATAGTGTAAGAAAATAGCAAATAAATCCAACAAAGGCCTAAATAAACAGCTCTCTGCTTGAGTGGTTGTGCTTTGAGGTTATCCCCCTGATAGTGTAATGTTTCTCTTAAATGTGGATTAGATAGATTACATTAGAACAGTAGTTCTCAAGTCCAGTCCTCAAGCCCCCCCCATCCTGCATGTTTTGGATGTTCCCCTGCTCCAACACACCTGATTCAAATGATCAGCTCGTTATCAAGCTCTGTAATGGCTTAATAACGAGCTCATCATTTGAATCAGGTGTGTTGAGAACCACTGCATTAGAACAAGTTTATGGACATGTCATTATCACGTGACCGCTGCCTGTCAGAAGGGAGAGAAAATGTAGTGTTTAGCACCAAGTGAGTTGGTTCCCAAGAAGCTATGACCTGCATTCAGCAGCATTTTAAAATTCTACCTAAATGACTGGAGAGCCTGCAAATCTTGACAGGGCTGTGTAGACTTGCATGAGGACGGCGACCGTCAGAGATGAATAAAAGGGCCCATCTCAGGATCAGTCAGTGATAGGTCACCCATAAACTGTTGCATGGATGCTAGGCGTCCCCAGGTCATGAAGGAAAACCCTTGTGAACTCACAGATGAGTGGATATGGTGTGTGCATTCAGTGTTGGAGCTGTTTATGTGAGATAGCGTCGCTCTTCTAACAGAGACTTCAGTTTGCAGTTTTGTTCATACACTTCCCTAAAAAACAGTCACATCAGGATTTAGCTTCCTGTTCCTTCACCCCTTTGCACAATTTCATGCTCCTTTGCTCTCTGCTTAAAATCAGAAGTCATTTTTATGTCATCATGGTTTTAATATTATCTTAGCAGCATAATGACAGTTTATATACAGCCATGACAGTGCCATTTATCCAGAGAAACTGTAGGGTGGTTTAGTTTGATCAGTATCTGGATACCATCCAGCTGTGGTGGTAAGGCGTCCTTTTCTAAATACAGTCATGCAGATAGGGAAAAAGAGACATATGAGCAAAAACCACACAAACATGAAATGCTATGGTTTTAATTTATGGATTGAAAAACCTCAAGATTGACAGGATGCCTACAGAAGTATTTTACCCCACCATGTTTTCACAAAAATGAGAGCGATCCTGTCGCCAAAGGGAGGAAAAACACAAAAATCAAAATATGAAGTCTGACCCAAGTCCCTCCAGAAAATACAGACATCCAAAAATAAAACCCAGACATCCATACCAAGATGCAAAAGAGGAAAGTAATCCTCTGGCTCAAAGCAGAGGAACAAGCAGGGGATCATTGTGTGTAGGAGTGCAGCACAGAGGCGTTTGTTTACAATTTAGCCCGAGGGAACAGCTGTTTTTGAGTTAGTTTGTGCAGAATGAGCTGAAAGGTTTCGGTTTATGTCCAAAAGATGATATTCTGGTTAAATGCCGGATGCATTTACACCAACCTTTTCACCTGATCACTTTATCAAGCCTTCAAAGTTGTCATCTGTAATCTGAATTATTAGAATAAGGTTAGAGAAATATTGTATGGTGAAGGTGCAGGGAAAAGCAGGACATTGATGACTGGGCAAAACAGGTCTGTGAAGTGATGCAAGTTACTGAATCAAAGCAGGAAAAATGTTCTCATCATGTGAAGTGAACAGAACTCAAGTTTGGGACAGGGGTTGTCAGGTTTTGGACACGTGAATGTAGGGCTGGGCGATAGACTGAAAATTTACTGATGCCGAAGTTTACGACAATAACTGGCGTCATTTTGCCCATGTCAATAAATTTAGTGTCAAAAAAGTAAATAAATAAAGTTGGTTTTGGACGTGTGTAGGTAGGCTATGGTCTCATGTCCCTTTAAGACACTGCCCTATGTCAGAGACGTGACTCCACCCCATCCAGTCCGCAGCGGCTGAAGTGGATGAAGTTATTGTGGGAGGGGGTGAGCAGCTTGTAGAGTTGTTATCGTCCATTTTTCGTTATCGAGGTGAACTGCTAAATATATCGTGATATTGATTTAGGCCATATCACTTAGCCCTACATGAATGTGGGACTTTCAGTCATGAGATGCTGCAGAAAAAAGTCAATTCTCTGCCCTGAGATCTTTGTGTCGGATTATAAAAATCTCTTTTCTTGGTCAAAAGTCCAGAGTAGACTGACTCTTGAAAGTATCTTATTATTTTTCTGTTTTATCTCTTCAAGTTTGTAAAAGCTGCATCGTGAAGCACTTTTTCTACAGCAACAAATGTCCAACATGCAGCATCATAGTCCACCAGACACAACCTCTTTACAACATCAGGTAAGCTGTTTTTTTATGAGTCATTCTGAGTAAAAAAAAAATTCCCACAAACTGTGGTTCGCTACTTATCATATACATAGTTTATAAGCAGGCAGGAATTTGAACATGAGGGGTTTGAATCCAGAGATTTACATCATATTTGATATTTTCCTCTGCAGACCTGACAGACAACTCCAGGATATTGTTTTCAAAATGGTTCCCTCACTCGAGGAGCGTAAGTCACCTGAGCGTACACACAACACAATTAGATCTATCAAATACAATTCATTTATATTGCGTGCCTGTACCTGGTGATAGTGAAAACAATCTGATTTTTTTATGTCACAGTGGAAAAAGATCAAATGATGACCTTCTACAAGTCAAGAGGGCTAGAAGTGCCAAAACCAGGTAAAGAGTTCAGCTTTAAAAGTTCAGGCCAAAACAAAACAACATTAATCTTTTTAGTTTGCTTTTAAATCTGAGTGACAATTACTTGTGATATTTAGCTGGCGACTAGAGTGTTGTTTCTTCACTCTCTTCTTCCTCTTCTTGCTCTGCAGTGATGGTCTCTCCTCCTTGTCCTGTCGTGGTGAAGAGGCAGAAGAAAGAGAACATACCCCAGTCTGTGTTCACCATCCCCCCTGAGCTGGATGTGTCTCTGCTGCTGGAGTTTGTAGGGTAAAGATCCTTACAGAACAGTCTCTCTTTTGGCATTATCTCCACCTGCACTGACTTTAAACTCCTACAAACATTCATGCAATTACACAAGGCTGCCTCTAGATGGCCTTATTTCTGTACCGTTGCTGCTCGCTGAATAAATAAACTTGTACTGAATGTATAATTTCTCTTTTGATGTTTCCAGGGCTGAAGAAGGCATCGATAACTATAAGGTAATGCCTTCAACACTTAAGGTGCTATGAATATATAAATATGGGTTGATTAAGATCTGTTACTGACTGCATGAAACTGTGAACAGTCTGTATTTTCTTGCATTGTCTCTTGGTATTTTAAGCTGCCAAGTGAACATTTTGCTCGTGAAGTTGATGTGCAAAAAGCTGGGAAAATGATCAGTAGCAGGATCTGAGTAATTTTGACAAACTTTAATGATAAGGCAACTCGTTCTGAGCATCCCCCAAACAGCAGCTCTTGTAGGGTTTTCCCATTTTTGCAGGGGTCAGTACCAAGGCAGAAAAATCAGTGAATCAGCATCAGAGTCAACTGGTGGACTGATTGACATGTGTTAGGAGCCAAAAATGACCTGTGTGGTCTGTCTGATCTAACAGAAGAGCTGCCGGGAAAGTTGAAGCCAATGTTGATTAGCTTGGCGTCACCAGACCCATCAGCAAATTCATGTTAGTTTTTCACTGGCTGCTGGATTAAGACAAGGGATGTAAATTTAAAGGTAGCTCCAGAGGTCTTGCAGACTCTGTATATTCCCAGGTAAGGGCTGTGCTGTTTTGGCCCTGGCCTGATGAGAGAGGCTCCTGCACAGTATAAGGATGGTGGTCATGATGTTATTAAGGATCAGGGTTCGTTTAAAACTTCAGGTGATTTAGCGGTGTTATTTAAAGCTTCCCCAAATTAAGAGGCTTGTGCAGGATTTACATATGATGGCATTCATTTCCAAAGTTTTAGCGTTGCTCTGATTCAGACCTGTTTCTTTCTGGTTTTTTTTTGTTGTTGTTGTTTTTCAGAAAATTGACGATTCTACAAAATAACTCACATGCTGTCTGCTCCACTCCGTATATTTTTAGCCATTGAAGAGGCCGTACGTTCGTGTGTCAGGCGAGGCCACCGTTCGGCACGTGGAGCTCTTCATCAGGAGGAAGATGGAGCTGAGCCCAACCTGCCAGGTGAGTCTGCCAGGTCTCCAGCTTGATGACCAGAGTCCAAATCCTGATCTCTGATTTAGTTGGACAGTAAAAGAGGTCAGCATTACACAATCGTGTAGGTGTGCACCATGGGGAAGGTTTGTGACAGTTGTTTCCTTATGTCAGAGAGTTACCAAAATGATGAGAAGCCAGGAAGATATGGGGTCCGCTTATAGGTACCTGTGTGACTGTCCAAAATCAAGTGTAAAACACACCTGCAGCATATGATGCACATGATTCAGGACTTCAGATGGAAGAGATCAGTACCTCATGCTGTTTGAACGGTCTAAAAAACTCAGATTACTTCACATTTGAGCCAAAAAATTAGAAATTTTTACTAAATTTTGTCTGCTGTGTGAACTTGTTCACACCTTGTTTTTATGGACTCTGTTAAACTTCTCAAGATTGTTTCTCTGTGGTTGTTTTTCCAAGAGAAGACAAAACCTGAATGCAAGTAGAGCCCGACAAAGAAAAAAAAGGTAGAAGTGCCCTGGTCAAATCTCAGCAGGTAGTCTGCATTTTAAGGACAACAGACTGCGTGGTAACAGCGTTAATCTGATCGTAATGAAATAATCAGTGCAGTGAAACCCCACGTCTGTCTTTGAACTGAAGGAGGAAGCGGAGGATTACAAATCATAAAAAGTCCTCCCTTCTTGGGAGCACACAGACACAAATGTTTCAGAGTTCAGATGTCAGTGCATTCTGCATTAAGGTACACGTGGGCGAGGATTAGCAGCTTACACTCTTACACTCATTTCCTGGCCTTGGTTTTACTGGACACTGGCTGTTGGTACTCTGACATGTCTGGACAAACCTGAAGAGGACACAAGTCAGATTTTTTTTATTAAAGCATTATAAGAATCTCAAACCTAAACTTTGATGATTTTAATCACTTTGTTATGCATGAGATTTGACTATCCACCCAAACATCTACATCCCTGATCCCACAGGAGTGAGGACACCACGTGATATGTCGATCAAAGATAAAAGTAGATAGTTTAAAATTAGTAGAAGTTTATATTCATTTGAAGTAGTGTAAAGATAAGACACCAAATGGTGAAACAGAGGAAGGTAATTGTTTTAAACAATGTTTTCTCATCTTTAAACTTGATGCGAGCAGAGCTTCACCACTCTGTGATGGACTAAATAAGAGGATCGAGCAGCAACTTTAAAATAATGTTCCTGAGTATAAGATTGCCTTTTAGGATTTCACAGCTATGGTTCACAGTTTCATTAAGAGAATCTAGAGATACATCATTAAATAAGGGTCAGGACTAATGACTGATACTGGATGACTATGAGCTTCAGACCCTTAGACAGCACTGCATAAAAAACAAAATGACTCTGAAGTGGAAATCACTGCATTAGCTCACACTGGCATCCAAAAACCACTGTCTGGGAACAGAGTGTGCCACTGAATCCACTAATGCAGATGTAAGTCAAACTGTACCATCAACGAGACAACCATGTGTAAATATGTGCCAGAAATGTTGGAAACTTCTCTGGGCCATTTATGATGGACTAAAGTGTGCTTGAAAAATGTCCTTGGAAGTCACGAATGCCACATCTTCGGCTCTAACGTTCAAAAGTTCCGAATCCAGCGTCTAATCTCCCATACCATGGCAAAGTTTGCTCATCCATGAAAGCTATATTTAATGCTGAGAGATATATCCTTTGTAGTAGAAGAGTCTAGAAGCTAAACTGGCCCTCCAGCAGTGGTGGTCACCTGTTAAAAATATTTGGTATTTCTGAATATAAAATAAAGGACAAAAGAGACCCTGAACCTTTAAGCAGCATCAGTGATTGGGGTTGTATTTACTGATGAAGAGGTTAATTGGTTTTGTGGTTTTGAATGTCATGCTCTGATAATCTATGAAGTTAACCTCTGAAGTAGAACACTAAGTCCAAGATGCTTGATATGTCAACATTTGGAGTAGTGGTTAGGCTGCAGTTATGTCTGAATTTATAAGTGATACCACCACAGCAGGAAAAAAGAAGTGCATCCCCTCAACTCGTGCCAGACCCATGATTTGGTGACCCCGCTACAACACTACTACAAAAACCCGACTGCAAAACCACACACTGACTGTTGGTGTGTGTATATTATAATGATATTGAGTAATAGTGTGTTTGTTTGTGTCGTGCAGGTGGATGTGGTTTGTGGAGATCACCTCCTGGAACACTACCAGTCACTCAAAGACATCCAGAGCTCTCTGGGTGAGGAGGCTCTGCAGGTAAGCATCACATTTACACTCACTAACACACCTGCTCCTGTATGGGATCATGTTTGTTTGGTAGAAATCTAGTTATATGTGACTAATATATAAATAATATACAGAGTGGAGCAGGCTGATATATATATATTGTTTCCACTTTTATCCAGGATGGTCTGTTGGTGCTGCACTTCGGCTTGGTCCTGCCCCCTTGAATAGAGTTTATACCTGAGAGGATTGATGAGACTCTTAATGTGGAGTGAAGTGTGGACATTAGCATCGGTGTCAAAATGTCTTTTCTAAAACTTAAACAAATACTGATATATTTTCAATGGCAGGTATTAACTAAACTTTTGTTCTTTTGAGCATCAAATCTTCAGCTCCACCTTGAATTCAGGACAACACTTCAGGTGACACACACAAGATTTCTTGAGGTGTCAACATTTGAGTATGACTTTCTCTGAATAATTTTTCCTCATCTAGTTGCCTTGATATCTTTCTTTATAAGAGAGTGTGTTTCCACTCAATCCAAGAAAGACTGCTGCTGTAGCTAAAACTGGACTGACAGAGAGATTTAGCTGATTTTCTATTTATGTTTGTAATGGCTGGGTGTAATTCAGGTAGATAACTGTGATTCAAAGGGCTTAAACAAAAGGACTTCCTTTACCAAAGGTGTGTGTGTGTGTGTGTGTGTGTGTGTGTGTGTGTGTGTGTGTGTGTGTGTGTGTGTGTGTGTGTGTGTGTGTGTGTGCGTGTGCGCGTGCGTGTGCGTGTGTGTTTGAAGAACTGTCTTCCTCTGGTTGATTTACATGTTAGACAGCTGTGAACTTTTGTGTACTGTCTCAGTTTGTATTGATGGTATAAATTTGATAAAACCTACTTTTTGTAAAACTTTCAAGAGCACAAACGCAGTTATTTAAAATGATTCTGTTAACCTGTTGGAGATTAAAAAAAAAAAAACCTTCAGTACTTGATTTTATCAGAATAAACGGGTGAATAACTGCACAGCTGAGGGATGTGTATGTTTTCTTATTTGTGTGTCTTGTAAGGATGGGAAGATGTACTTTTCTCCCGAATTGATTCTTCTACGATTTTTTGGATGCCGATTCGATTTCAATTGCGATTCTACAATATTGTCGATTTTCTAGATTTTTAGTCTGCATATTTAACACCAGTGAAACAGTTGAGTGATTATGATTGTCTCATGACTATTCCAGGAACCATGTTTCCACAAAAAATACACATCACATTTAAGTAATTTTTTAAGATTTATTCTTAAATTTGACAAAAAAATAAAAAAAAATTTGAACATAAAAATTGATTTAAAAGTTGTAAAACAAAAATATTGCGATACTTATGTGAGTTGATTTTTACTCCCACCCCAAGTATCGTGTGTTCGGTTTATTTCCAGGCAGTGTGTCGGCAACCTAAGCTAACAGTAACTGCTAATCTATGACTAAATTTCAGACGTAGAGTGGCATTTGAAATCACTGAAAATGAAGTACTTTCACCGTTGATAAAGCGCAGCTAGGGTGACAGTATCTGTGTTGACAAATTAAGTCAGCTTTTGTCTGAGATATTAAAAAATATTCCTTGAACCCTTAGAATAAAAATCTGAGTGTAAATGTTAACCAGCCCTTGTATTTAGCCTTAACTGTACTGTTAAATGTAGTAGTCTCAGTGGGTGTGGAAAAGGCCCATACAGCTCTGTGCAGTTTGTTCTTGTGTTGTCTATGGTAATAAACCATCAGCATCTCCACTCTTTGCTCCACTGTGCACTCTCATTCTGATGATTTAGTGTACTGAATAACACTATGACTCCTGAGTAAGACTGCAAGATTTGGTTTGTTTGTTAAAGGGAGGGTTCATTGACTATTTTGATAGATTTCTAGGAGTCAGGAAATCCAAATGTTTATAGGCTTTTTGCAACACAGACGTTTTAGTTTATTGTTCTTGAAAGCAGATATCTTTAAATAGAGACAAATAAATTGTAGAATTAAATCAGGGGTCGTCGGAGTGTCATTGAAAGGTTATGTTATGCCTCATTTCCTGAGCTGCAGCTGTACTTGAGATAGACAAGTTCTCTTGAAAATGTCAAAGCCACCTGATTTGTAATATCTTAATGCTACTTGGACAACAAATGCTCTACTTATGTTAAACAGAACACTTCCTATACTCAGATTTGGCATATTTATAGCTATTGATGATCTGTACTATAAGCTATATAAAAAATGTCACCAGTAGCGTATAAGGCAACATACTTATCTGCAAATGAAAGCACATGAAACATTTCAGTCACACTTCTCACTTTGTTTATTGAGCCAGTAAAACAACAGTTTACACTGCAGACAGGTGGAAGTGTCGGTTGGTCTACTCTGATGAAACGCTGCACAGTTAAAAATGCCATGACATCCACTGTTTCTGTTTCTACCAAAGTAAAGTTATCATGCTCCGCACACACTAGAGCCTAAAGCGTTATTATGCAAGTGATTTTAAATGCTCATGGGCTTGTGTATTTTTTTCTTTTCATTATCGTGACAGACTTTGTGAATAAATCTGAAGAGTTTAAATGATGAAATCACATGCTCGTGTTTTTTAATGTGGAATGTCCCTTTAAGTGAACACAATCCTGTCAATTGATCATTAAAAGCTAATTTGTCAGGTTTCAATTCATTCACACAGTAGCAAAATAGGAATTCAGCCCTCCAAAATTGAGCACATCCCATAAATGTTTTTTTGCTGACTTGCAGCAAATTTGTCAAGTTTTGTCAGGTTATTTTTGATCTTTAATGCTGAACTTAGTATTGCCATTTTCTTTAGCTCAAAGAAAATGTGTCCTCTAAAGCTCTACAGAGACCTGCACACCTGCCGAACTGTAAAATTTAGATTTACTCTGAAGCATTATTCAACTGTAAGATACTGTTTACCACCCAAAGTCCTGACTCCCAGCTCTAACTCCGAAACATCTGTATAAGAGTTGCGAAAAAACTGACAATACACAAACAGTATAGCCCTTTCTTCACTCTCCAGATCTCTGTAGACATCCCTCGTCAGTTGTTGGAGTTGATGTCGGCCTCGTCTTTATCCTCGCGGCTTTCCTTAAAGCTCTCCTTCATGGCTCCATCTTTATCCCTCTGGCTGCTCCTGGTGGAGCCGACGGAGCCGCGAGGCTGGTAGCTGTAGCTGGTAGCACTGAACGACATCCCTGTGTTAAAGTGGGTCTCCTCCCCCTCCAGAAGTTTCCTTGTGGGACAGAAAGGGAAACAATGTCAAAGAGGAAACAAAGGCTTTAAACACCACACAATGTAGAGATTGTATACCATCCATGTTTTTAACAGAAATTACTGTTATCAGGTTGATCTATCCCACTGAGCATTTTTTGGTCTGAAAGAGGTCTAATAGACGTCTAAATGTTGCCTAGACGACTGGTCTAAAATCAGGCTACCAAAGGTCTAAAAACGAAAGTTTTTTAGACTAAACCAAGTTTAGACTAGCTGGCTAAGAGAGGTCTAACTGTATATTGCTGAACGGCAATCAATTATTTTGGTTAAGTACTTGGAGATCAGTTATGCAACTCACAGTTTTAATTTCATTATGCTTGTCACAATGACAATAAAATATCTATCTATCTATCTATCTATCTATCTAATAATGGGCTAAAGTGCAACGTCTAAATTCTGTCTAAAAATAAACAAATTATAGACGGTTAAAATTAGGTCTAAAAACAACTACATAGATGTCTAACAGCCGTCTGTTGCTCAGTGGGAGGAGAGAATGGGTAGATATGGAGGTAAGAGGAGGCGTGATATTAAGAGTTTGATCTACTAACCAGGTGTTCCTGTGCAGCTTTATGCAGTTTATTGGTGAAGTATAAGAACAACAGTGCAGACTGCAGTAGCTTAAAGCAGGTGCATTAAATTACTGAGAGATGGATAGTCTGTTACTCCTGGTGATCGTTGTGGACACAGGAGAGTGGCTGGTCCTAAATGTGGCCCCAGGATATGTGCTGGCATGACAAAATGGACAAATCTGTCACAGACCAGCTCTCTGTAAGGCTTGAGTGATTAGATCTCAATGTGTGGCGGTGTGTTTATCTCTGTGGTAGAGGTGAACTGAGCACCAAAACTACACACTGACACCAGCTATGAACAAGACATTGATGGAAGCACTTAATTACCAAACTACTGAGACAATATTTAGACCCCAACTTTTAATGTCCCTTAAAATGCAGTGAGCACCTGTAGGCTGCGATCTCTATGTCCAGGGCCATCTTGACGTTAAGCAGGTCCTGATACTCTCTCAGGTGCTGAGCCATCTCACCCTTCAGGTTCCTTAGCTCAGTATCCAGGTGGCTGATAGTGTCCTGTGATATCCAGAGAAAGAGAATTAGAGGAGAGGAAAACACGGAGATTAAGTGATTAAATTCATGAAGCATGTATAGATTGATTTTAATCCACCATGTTAGAGGCCTCCTGTGGTATAAATATTGAAGGCTGAATTTGTTTCTGCGCCTAAAAGGAATACAATAACCTTCAAGGATTAGCCTTACCTCCTCTAAGAGGCCAGTGAAAGCAGGCTGCCTTCCTATATCCAATTTAACAGGTCAGAAGTTAATCTAATAGCCACGCGGGGTCAGTTAACTAAGATCTGTTTCAGTCATACTCACAGTCTCACTGTCACATATTGACCAGCTCTCACGAAAGGTCAAGTTTGACCCCAGACGTGAAGCAAACAACCCTAATGTCTGAAATTTCACAATACAGAGTTGGATAAAGGAAACCGTATCTTTAGCCTCCATCAATTTACGCCATTTTAAAGATAACAAATATCATGTTTTAGGGAGCACTTATTTCTCCTTTTTTTTTTCTCATCTTGTTTGAATGATAAATGATTCTCCACTTTCTTGCCATCATGAGAAGGTAAAAAAATCACTGTTGTGTCTGTATGACAAATCTCCAGACAGAAGCTGCTTAGCAAAGCTCGCTTAGCTTATCTTAGCTCACTTTGACCTATAACAAAGACTGCAAGCATAAGAAAGCGGCTAACCTAAACACCAAAATCTTAATCTGATACTGAGTTAAGCTAACATCTGCTAACTGTAGCCTAGCTTGTTCTTCATGCAGATATTCATCTTAGAAATTAACACAGTGATTTATCACAGGCAGCATGATCGTTTTGCATTATAAGACTGACATCTCTTTTTGATGTCTAAGTTTGAAGCTCCCTGCAGCGGGGGAACTTGGCTAACAGCATTACTCAAGCCGTGACATAATTTATGAGGAACTTGACTCTGAGGTCTGCTCTCCTCCAATCCTATTATTGTGCAGTGTTGTAGACGGTCATGCCCATCATACGCTCTGTGCCAGCAGGTGATTTCCTCTTTTTTTAAACAACACTGAGTTCATCTGAAGTTTAACATTTGACAATGAGGCAGTTTAAAGAAATAGTTGTATCTCAAGTTTTCCACCAGCCAATGCATAGATCATTACCTAATATTTGACGGTTAAGTGTTCATTATAGTGCAAGTCTGCAGCACAGGTAAATCATGTCAACTTCTTTGGCTGGTCCTAGTCAAAACGTTTCCTTTACTATTAGATGCTAACTTACTAAACAGGTGCCAAGATGTCTGTCTTTATATCTGCAGGGGATATGAAGAAAAAAATGCTTTGGTCGATTCCAAAAGTAATTTGCAGATGGTCCCTGAATACTCTACTCACTGCTACCTGTGATTAGTATCCACTGTAAGCTGTTCAGCTCAGAGGACAGCTTGCACTCATCAGGTTGTATCTCACTGTCTATCTCACTAAGGCTGAAAAGATGGGTTGCTTTTGTAAAAGCATTTATCTGCCAATGAGCCTTTGACCCAGGAAGGCCAAATTTGTGGATCTTACCCTGGTTTCTGTGACCTAAGAAGGAGTTACATGTCAAAGAAATGTATTTGCAACAAAAAATTCCGAGGTCTCGAAAGATTTCTTAGGATATATATATATAAATTTTCATGTCACTTCAGTGGCTTTTTAGAGAATATTACAATGAGTCCAAAAAAGAACTCTTTGTGAAGGAAATATGAATGCCTACAAAAAAACATTTCTACAGGTTGAAAAAATACAGCACATTTCATGATATAGAAGTCTACAAAAATCTAACCTCCAGCTATGCAGGTTTAAGACCTCAGTGAATATTTTCAAAATTAATTTATGGTCTTAATAACTTATTTCAATTCTTATTTAACACAGTATGGTGTTACAGCATTTGGCTGTACCCTGTGACTGACAAGTCACCACTACAATCAACTACTAGAAGGTCTTTGCTCAGCGCTGGCTCGTATTGGAGGAGTCTTCTGTTTGTTTATTTTGGAAAAACACTTGATTCTGGTTTGCAGAAAACAGCCTTCTAGTATTTTTCACAGTTATCATGAATATCATTGTGCACCTGACTAATCAAGCTTGCTGTGATCTCAGCTGGTCACTTATTCACTGGCCTATGGCTTTTCTGGCTTTTGGCTCCAAAATAACAGGCTGGGTGTGAACAAATCCAAGTCAAGACTTAACTGAGAGTGCACAAAGTGATCACAGGGCTCCTTACCTGCATGGCTGTGACTTCACTGTTGTGTGCATCCTCCATTTCTGCAATCTGCCGCTCCAGAGACTCATTGGCACCCCTCAGGGTCTCTATCTCGATGGTCCTGGACTGCAGCTGCCTTCTGAACTCACTTATCTCCTCCCTGCTGGCCCTCATGGCCTCATTGCTCCTTGTTGCCTGCTCGCTCAGGCTGGCAAACTTGTTCTTGTACCACTCTTCAGCAGACTGCAGGTTTTTGGAGGCGATGGACTCGTACTGGTTGCGGATCTCCTTCAGAGCAGAAGTGAGGTCTGGTTTGGCGAGCTCCAGCTCCACAGAGACTTGTTGAGCTTCCATCAAGCTGCTCAACTCCTGGATTTCCTCGTCATGCACTTTTCTCAGGAAGGAGATCTCATCCAACAGCGTCTCCACACGGCGCTCCAGGTCCAGGCGAACGGCAGCAGCATCATCTACATCCTTCCTAAACGACTTCAGGGTATGCTCAGCCTCCTCCCTGGTCCTCACCTCCTCATCATACTTCAAGGAGAGTTTCTAATGAGATGAGCACACAAGTAAAGAATCAGAGGTGGTGGAATAGCAAAAGGGTAAGGCCTTAATTTTCAGCCAGGAAAATCCTACGTTTTCAGTCCGGGTGGCTTAAAATGACATGAAGTGCAATAGCAACATCCATATTTAACAGATTAGTGATTGAACTTATTTTTATAACTTAGCATTATTTTTATGATTATTGATTGTGTTTCTCAGGAAAATATCTAGTGTTTTACTTGTACTTGTTAACTTGTAGTTTGTTTACATGTGTTATCAGGTGTTTTTGTTTGTATTACTTTAACTTGCACTAAGTACAGCTGTAGTTTTTTTTTTTTAATATAATTTTTTTGTACAGGTACAATAATGCTAAAGGGTTTTCTTTTATTTTCTATTCTACTCTTAACTATTGTTTAGATTCACATTAAGTTCATGATACTGTGCAATAGTACTATTATAAAATATGGTTTATATATGCATTTGCATATATATGTAATATAAATGCAAATGCATATATGTTTGTAAGTAAGATTAACTAAGATGGGATAGAACTTTATTGATCTTTTTGTGATCATGTGGGGATCATTGAATAATGTTTACTGAAAATGTTTGTGATTGATTTTTAAATTTGAAAAAAATAATAATATCACCATTTTGCATTTTAAAAAAACTATCATGTTGGTGAATTTTAGGTGTTTTATATTTGAAATACAGGTGTATTTTAAATATGAATATTAACAATATATATACATTGCTGTTATGCATTAGGGCATTCAAAAATGCTTAATTTATTGTTTCACAAACACAGATTTTATTCAGATATACTTGATTCATGGCAAATGCTCATGGTTTAACAAACCTGATTAAGAATTTACCGAGCTATAAATATTGTTATAGAGGATAAAGTTGACTCCCTAATTGAATTTGGCTTTATACGTACCACCTAAATTGGATCACTTGCATGTGTAATTATTAATTTTTTGTGTTTAAAGAAAAGTTTGGATCAAACAGATATCTTGTATAACAGAAAAAATGTAGAACTCCCACAGAGAGTGGAGCGATCGGGCAGTCATTGATCAGTAAATCTCATGAGCTATCTGATAAACGGCTTTATGTTCGTTGTTTCTGTGCAAGGTTCTTTGTGTATTGTTGTCAGACACTGAAATAATTATTTGAGGCTGTCGGTACAAAAAAATAAGCACTTCTTGAGGACAAACACTGGGCACTCTTAACTCTTGCTACTGGACAGATTAAATAATGTTAAAATTTTCAGTGTCCCAACACTCTCATCTCACTCTCACTTTTAATCCAATGGCACAAAATCAACAGTTAAATCAGAGAACTGTGATCTCTCTACATGAGGTACCTGCTTCACCAGTCAAGCTAAACCACCAACCCCCTTCACTCATGTGTTCTACCTGCAGCTCATCCTCCACGTTGTTCCTCTCGATCAGGACGCGGTTCTTCTCTCGGTTCAGCTCCTCCACCTGTGACCTCAGCTCTCTCATCTCCTGTTGGTACAGCAGAGCGACGCGGGACGGCTCGCCCTGTTTCTGTCGCAGCGTCAACAGCTCCATCTCCAACATTTTGTTCTGCTGCTCCAGGTTACGCACTTTATCGATGAACATGGCGAAGCGGTCATTCAGGCCCTGGGGAACAGGATTGATGTCATTTTAACCCAAAACTCGGCGGTAATTTTCCAAATATGTTGATTCAATTAACCTTAAACTTGCTACAAAATCTACTGCATCAAACATAATTTATCACCAAGACCTCCACTCATTTCACCAGTTATGAAGAGTTCATTCTTAACTTGGGGGATGAACTTGATTAGTTTTAGACCTGCAAGATGCCCACTGAACTAGGGCCTACTCGCAGAGTTGTGAGTGGTGCTTTACCTTCAAAGAGACTATCAGCAACAAACCCTTGGAGTTTCTCAAACTTCATATCTAAACTAAATGGAAAGAAGGCCTGTGGACATTTGCTTTGTCATCTGATTCACACAATGCCAAGAATTATTAGTCCATCCATCAAGGCTGATGACAAAGATTGTTTAAAGAGTCGATACACCAGTTACAGGCTTGATAACATTAAGAAAGGCATCCCTGTGACAATAGTAGCCCAGTTTCTATCTATATAAACTAATTTACTTTATCAGGTAAATGCAATTAACCACCTAACCCCGTACCTGAGGTCCAGGACATCAGTCTCTGTTTCCTAGAAGACGGCTTAAAGACCTTAATATGGACAACATTTTACATCAGCTGTATAAAACACTGTAAAAATGACGGTTACTGAGGAACAATGTCTTACTTTAAAGCTTTTAATATACAGGTGCATCCCACCAAATCAGGATATTGTAAGTTTAATATTTCCCATCAATAATTTAACAAAAGAAAACTTCATTGTAATCTAAACTCGTTGCACATAAAATGCTTTTAGTATTTTGTTAATTATGGCCCACAGCTATAAAAATACTGAGTATCTCTTAGTCTGGTTGAGTAACAACAATCAAGACTTCTGACTTCAGCTGTCCAGAGGATGAAGAGCACTGACACCCATCATGGAGGGTTATTGCTGTGAGGGTTTCATGAGTTTGTATTAGTGTGACTGGAGGGAGAAATTGTGGGAAGAGAAGGTGACCAAACAACAAGGATGACGGCAGCCTTGAGAGGAACATCAGGAAGAGTCAAGGAGGAAGGAGGAAAAGATCTGGACCGCTGCTCAGTGATCAGTGAAATGAAGTCCTCCTTTCAGATGAAAGTAAATGAAGCATCTCTGTTGGCAGTCAAGCTCCCAGAGTCTGGAGAAAGGAAGATTGGAGAGACCCAGAATCCAAGGTGCTTGAAGTCCAGTCTGAAGTTTCCCCAGTCTGAGATGATGTCATGTCATATGCTGCTTTAGGTCTGCTGTGTTTTATCCAATTTTAAAGATAAAACAGCTGTCTACAAAGAGCAGGTCATGTTTCCACTGACAGCCCTTTCAGTGACATTGACACTCTTTTTCATCAGCACTTAGCACCTACCCACAGCACCAAAACTACCACCAAATGGCCTGCTGAGTATCTGGCCTTACTGCACTGGATTGGCCAAACTGTGGAATACTTTCATGAAGAAGATGGGAAACATTGACCCCAAAATACAAGCAAGCTAGAAGCCTCTGCTAAAACTGCCTGCTTCAGTAACACCTTGGCAGTGCTCAGTGTCTTCATGCCATGCCACACAAGAAATAAAACAGAAAACAGGAGGAAATATTTACCTTACTGTGAGGAATATAGGATAGTTTACCTCTTTGTACTAAATTACGAATAAAATCAACTTTTTCTAATTTGTTGAAGTACCAAAACTCATTTTGCGCCCCAGTATCTCAAACTTCACACTATGGATTACCATTGGTGTTATAAACTTGGATTACAAAGTTGAACTAAATATTTTTGAGCAGGAAATACACGTGAAAGAAGCGAATTATTTTTTTCCGTCTGCTACACCCACCTGCAGCTGCTCCTTCTCGTTAGTTCTGATAACTTTGAGTTCATTGTTGGCCACAGAAGTCTGGGTCAAGTCCAAGGAGTCGGTGGTCATTGGGTTGAAGGAGAAGGAGGAGCGGCCTGTCCGTCTGTACAAGCTGAGAGAGCTGGCGCTGTTGCGGGAGGACACAGCCATTGACCGGAGCACCGGGGAGCCCCGGGGAGAGGAGCTGCTCATGCGGTAGGTGGAGGAGGAAAACCTGGGAGACTCCCCGAAGATCTTCCTGTAGGATGAAGAAGTGTAGCGGTCTCCGTGGCTCATCTTCGTCGTGACTCAGAGATAAGTGAGGGACTTAATGAGCTTTGCTGGCAGTTAAAGGCTATAGGTGGAGCGTACCATTTTACGCACGGCGGTGCACGTCTCTACAACATTTATACAATTAAGTGAAGTTGCCTATTTGTTTTTGTTTGTTTTGAGTGATCAAAGTAGTCTTAATAACTCTGTCTTTTTATTTCAGACTTATCTTGTGGTCAAATCGCGTGCGTAAATCGATGGGACGCCTACGCAGGAACATCCCATCTGGCGTTACCAGCGTCATAAAGCCTATTTCACCGGTGATACCAGCAGGTAGAGCTCTACAGGTGAGTGACAAGGTCTAGGGCAGCAGCCATAAAGAAGCAAAATCACATTTGAAAAAGAAACAAACAACACAACATGGGGAAACACAAAAAACATGAGCCCTAAAATAGATAAACAAATTCACCATCACCTGTCAAATAAATATCCCCATGCCTTTGTAACCTCGTTTTTTATGATAGGTGAGACCGGGGCTTGTTGTCACAATTTTTACACTCTTATATATATCTTGAAATCAATTCATCATATATAAACAAAATGTGTACCAGATGAAAGACCAAAGTCTCAGGTATATATTTCATATTTATGTCATTTCCATATCTTTTATCAGTGCAGAGTTATGAGCAATCAAATAGAGCTAGAAAATTTTTTTGAACATAGCCAAATGTTAACATAAAATATTAAACAACATGCTCTGGAGTTTGGAGATCTGTCTGACTCTGTATTTCGGCTGGGGTGAATGTTTTGCAGTACCGAGCCAAGGTATGATAGTTGACATTTAAGTCCTTTATTGTACTCCAGATTGATTTATTAGCTAGGGTCACCTGCCTGACTGCCCTCAGCATCCCGTCAAATTAAAGTCAAATTTTCAATATGACAACTGCTGATAAGCAGACTCTCTATGTTAATTTTAATCCCTTTTAAACATGTGACAACTACCCCAAAATGACTGAGACATGTTGCCCCAAACTACCATGTCTGCTAATTAAAGCTCTAGCTTAAAGTTAGTTTAAAACTGAACAATGACTGAGGTATGACAGGATGCCTTAATCTCTCCAAGTTCACATGTATCACTGCTTGGATTTTTATCTGGAAGAAGCTTATTTTAAGATATATAAAATTATTATTTTTTTACTTTGGGTTGGGCTGAATGGTTAATTGGTGTTCATCTCAGCTCACATATGTGCTCTTCTCTTCTCAGACAGGACACGACCCCTGACCATGTAAAGCAGTGGTTCTCAAGTCCAGTCCTCGAGGCCCACCGTCCTGCATGTTTTAGTTTCCCTGCTCCAACACACCTGATTCAAATGATTAGCTCATTATTAAGCCATTACAGATCTTGATAACGAGCTGATCATTTGAATCAGGTGTGTTGGAGCAGGGGAACATCCAAAACATGCAGCACAGTGGACCTCGAGGACTGGACTTGAGAACCACTGATGTAAAGGAAGAAAACTAGTATTTTAGTTGTATTTTAGTTGTGCCCTCTGGTGGCAAAGATAACTGCAATGTGACAACTTACCCGTGGGACAACAAGCCCCGGTCTCCCCTACTCTTTTATTACTGGAGAGCTCTCAGTTCACTTCTCCCCTGAATCCCTAATCCTACCATAACTCAAGACAAATGTCAGAGAAACGATCAGATGATCAAGTGGATTGTAAATCTTCAAGACAGTGATTAAAATACACAAATTTACCTCTTTTTCCTCATATCTATGATAATTTACACAGCTACGAGAGATCCCAGTCCTTTCACAACAGAAGCCCATGTTTGAGAAAGCTGTTGCAGCAGTAGTAGTAGTGTACCACCAGCAGGGGGCGGAGCAGAACAAAACAAAACATGACAGAGATACAGGCGGACAGAGGACATGGATCTCTACTTTTTAAAAAAGAGGAGTTTTGAAATGACTTTTCTACAATGGAGAATTAGGGCCACATTTAGAAAAAAAATGAGGACTTCAAGATTAAAGTCTTTAACTTACGAGAATAAAGTCGTAAAAAAATAAGTACTCACAAGACTAAAGCCATTATAAAGGAGTTACCTAAAGTCAACTTCACTAACACTTGGTGGCCACTCTGGCTGAATGAATCCCAAAATCATTGTATACAACTTTTAAATTTTAATTAAAAGCGTTTCATTAAATCTCAAAAACATAACAAACCAAAATATTTCTGTTAAAAACATTTGTTTAAAGTATTCCATGAGATTTTAGGGTATTTGTAAAATCATTTTCTAGATCAAAGTCACGACACTCCTACTGCAAAGGATTGTGGACAGGAGTGAAAACAGCAACCACTGCACTGAAGACTGTAGCCTTTGATTATGGGCTGCACGCTTCTTTAACGTCCTAACCATCAGTGCTCCTGCTCAAGGCTTTGAACAACTAAGACTTTGTCCAGCATAAGAAAAACAGGGAGCTCCTTACTTTATTCTGTTTCATAGTGCCTTTCTGTTGAACAGCCTTTATCTTCTGACTCAAAACTACATCTTTATCATGAAAGGATTTGGTTCGCATTTTTATGTACATTGTTAATTTTCCTCTTGCCTTATCACATTTTATTCATGTTATTTTACAACAGAAAATAAATATATCTTTAAAAAGGTTACTGTTTGTTTCTGTGTTTGAGTGGAAGTGGGTGCTGTTTGACCCCTTAGAGAAAAAACAGTGTAGCCGCCACATGTTGTTTCCTCTGCCAACCTGCTGAGAGAGATTTCAGAAGACAGAGGGCAGCAGACGTCATGTTTATGTTCACACAGCAGCATGTGGGCCTGATGTACAACTGTATGTTCAGCAGTTCATTCACAAAAACCTTCCCTTCACTAATCTGCAGAGTCAACAATTAAACAGTAAAGAGACCAGAGGACACACTTAACTGTAACAGGAGTGTGCTTACTGTGTCTATAACTTGCATCAATTACAAAACTATATTTGGTCTTATGGATCTTGCTCTTTAAACATAGAATTAAACTACTGGGATTTTAGGAGCAACTGTTAAGCAGGTGAGTTAGCAAATTTTGAGCTTTAGATAGATTGAAGAAAGATAAGTCATACAGGAGCGAACTGTGGGAGGGGAGGATCTGGCACTTAACAAACCAAGACTTGTCAGTACAGAGTAAACCGGTTAGTCTTCAGAGCAAGATACTTTTTATTACAAATCTAAACAATTTGCATAAAAGAACAAACAAGTTGGGGCGGCACAGTGGTGTAGTGGTTAGCACTGTTGCCTCACAGCAAGAAGGTCCTGGGTTCAAATCGGGTCAGGGTGTTTCTGTGTGGAGTTTGCATGTTCTCCCTGTGTCTGTGTGGGTTTACTCTGGTTTCCTCCCACATCCCAAAAACATGCAGAAGTGGGGTTAGATGAATTGGCCACTTTCAAATTGCCTGTAGGTGTGAATGTGAGCGTGGATGGTTGTTCGTCTCTATATGTCAGAACTGTGATGAACTGGTGACTTGTCCAGGGTGTCCCCTGCCTTCACCTGAAGATGCTGGGATAGGCTCCAGCAACCCCCAACAATGATAAGCGGTAGAAAATTGATGGATAGATGGAACAAACAAGTCCATCTGTATAACAGTGTTATACGGTTAATTCTAATTGGTAATTTCTCTATGGCAACTGTCTGTTATTTTACAACAGCAGACTGTTACTGTTTAGTGCAGACTGTTGCTATGGATACAGAGCAAATCAAGGCCCTGGCAAGCTAAACATTACAATGTGCTGAATGAATTCCTGTTCATTTGTGGTTGGTTTGTGAACTATAGGGGGAAAGGGGAGACAGGGGCAGCTTACAGGAGGCTGGAGAGGTTAAAGATACGAAAACTGAGGGCTAAAATAGAGAGTACCACAAAATCAAATGTGTCCCACAACCTGCTCACTTACTTTAAAGTGTTTGTTTTTTGGAGCTGACATCCACCATTCTGCAGTGAAGTAGTTAATCACAAAGCCAAAGTAGCCGATGATAAAGAAGATGAAACCTCACCTCAGGATTAAATTGAATTAATCTGGTTCTAATCTTGTAACTCCTTTTCTCCCCCTCTTATATATGAATATTCATATTATGTGCTCTCCCACTTTCCTTGTATGGTCATCAGAAATCATTTCCGTCCACAGACCGGGGATCCGGTATCCCTTTAAACCCCACACAGGTAGACAGTGGAGGTCTGCGTGACCGCCCTCCTACTGTGCCCGTTTCCGCAAGAGCGCTATTGGTCGCCCCCCGGTGTGGGCGGGACACGACGCTCTGAGTCAGCTCTGAGTCACTGCACGACATGTCTGTCACATACTGCCTGCTGATGCGTTCGCTGACTGTCGGAATAAATAATACTTTACGGAATGTGTCATTTGGGTTCCTCCACGGTGTTTGCTTTGAACACAACAGAACTCGAGTCCCTTCCCTTGGACCACGGTAGGCTATACCGTATAAGTTTTAGGTGTGTGCATAATTACTCCAACGACTTTTGCATTGGGTAAACAAAATTTTTATTTTATTTCACTTTTCTATCATGTTAATCCTGCAGTTCAGACCAAGTTGGATAACATACCCGTGTTTTTTTTCAAAGGTACAAGTCCTCTCCATAATATCATTCAAAATGTCATTTATCTGGTTAGTTGAGAGTTTCTGCCCACCTATGGTATTCATATTTTCGACTTACCCCTCGGTCTTGAATGCGACACCAGACTCTGTTTTACATGACTTGCATTGGCCGCGTTCAGTGACACTGGAGACGCTGGAGTGATCCCGTTTATGATCCATCAGTTTTGGGTAAAATAGATCGTCAAGACCTGAACTGGAGTGACTTTTCTGTAGGAACAACCATCCCGGAAGCCATTTCTTTCTGGTCTATATTCTACTTTGGCACCGTGCTGGACAGATCTGCCATAGAGGGTGAGTGTGTCAAACTCTTGCATCTCAAACTCTTGCAGTGTGTTGGTGTTTGGAGCTGTTGTCTCTGACTTTAACTTGTTTCCCCGAACCTCTTTCTGAATGAGGCTCAGTGTGCATGAGTGCCTATGTTGCTCCCCGACTTCGTGGCTTCAAACGAGCTCAGAAAGCTGCCTCGTTATACTTTCCAGACGTGTGTGATGTATGGGCATGTACACTTGCATGCGTTTATCAGTCACAGCCTTAACGAGAGGAAAAGCGCAGCGTGGAATTCCCGTTACGCATCAATGTATCGCGCGTAAACAGTGCACCGCCAAACTGCACTAGGATTATTGCGATTGATTGAGTCATGTTCATTTTTCCAGACTGAAACACAATAGAATAAATCTTTGCTATAACTCAAAACACCCAGTTTAATGTGCTCTAATAATCGGCTAACATCTTACACCAAACATTGTGCTAAATGTTATGAAAGTCAGAATATTGGAAACCATGCAACTTGTAGTCTTCTCCTGCTGGAATACAGTCCAATCAAAAAGAAAGCTGAAAGTTGAGATTGTGTAGATTGATTCTCTTTACACAACACATTTCCTACTGAATTGACACCATAAATACTAATGGGCATTTCATTTCTTTCTATTCCACATGAGATTCATCTTGGTGCAGGAGCCACTGAGATGAGATTTTGTAGTGTTTCAAGTTTTAATGAACGTAAACTATCGAGGTTTGGTCAAACTGTCCGTACTGTACTTTGATGGCACTGTGCAGAAATAGCGCACAGAGTCACTGTTCAGCTGCTGTCTGTCTGCGTTATATAACCGAGCCCAAAGCACCACCACTGACTGACAGACACATCCTGATCTACTGCTGCTCTGCTCCGGTGCAGCACACATGGACCCAGAGTACATATTTATCTGGAATGGTTGTGCATGTTTGTATGTGTTGGTGCTTGCGTGTGGACTCCACAAGCTCACATTTATGGAGATATTTATTGCAAAAATGTGAAGTTATGGTTGAAAACACGTGATAATTGGGCCTACATATGTTATAGTAACATACTATTTAATATTCATGCAGGGCTTGGTGGTGCAGACAGTATTGTTGCATGTAGGGGTTGAACAGCGTGTTGTCATACTGTGAACTGCTCTTTGGTTATTTCTTTACAATTTCTTCATGGCTCCATGACGGCCACATACTGTGATTTTACCCAATACATTTTTAAAGTGACATGTAATTTAATGAACACATCTATGAGGAGTTTCTATCTTATTTTAAAACAGGCATAAAGTTATTCTAATTTCTTTAAACATAACCTCAGCAGATTCTAAATAAAGGTAAGAAAACACTCCCAAAATGGTCAGATTTTATTACTTATTATCAGACATCAATAAACATGAGATCACAGTCTTCAACGTATTGATATGAAATTTCAAATTCAATCAATCAAATTTTGTTTATATAGCTCCAATTCACAACAGTCATCATCCCAAGACGCTTTCCAAAGAAAAAGAGCAGGTCTAGACCACGCGCTTTGTTTGATAAATTATCAAGACCCAACCTAAGATGGGATTTAGCCCATCTCATCTAACATGAGTAACAGTGGCAAGGAAAAACTTCCTTGTAACAGGCAGATACCTTGAACAGGACCAGACTCTTGTTAGACAGCCACCAGGCCGCTGCTGGGTTGGGGAGGAACACACATAGAGAGAGAGAGAGAGAACAAGATAGAGGGAAGAAGAGGGAGAAAAGGTAAGGGGGAGGGAGGGAGAGAGAGTAGAGAACGGGGGTGAGAGAGAGAGACAGGGGACAGCAGCAACAACAGCAACAGCTCATGTAATGGTGAAACAAAATGAATTCAGTTTACAGAGTTAGGATAGGAGTGATTCTGGACTATGTTAAATTAATTAAATGTGATTACAGTCAGCAGGCCTAATAGTAGTTAACTCTAGTTTTATGTTATTAATGTCAGTGAGGCTGATGTTCATGTCTGCAGCAGCAGTCTAGAGGAAATTTATTATCATCACCAGCATTTGGTCCTCAATTTTTGTAACCACCACAGTTTTGTGATGGTTACAGGCCGACAATTTGGACAATAGTTCAACCCGACACAGCATAAGTATGTCTCCAGTTCAGCACTCTCCCTTCAAAGTTTAAATTTGGATTACTACTGTGCTTGTCAATGTCTCTTCTTGATCACCGACCAATCAGAATCAAGATGGGGTGGGATTTCTGTTTTTTTTTTTTTTTGTTTGTTTGTTTGTTTTTGGTCAACAAAAATAGCTGAGGTCGAAATGGAAGAGAAACAGATCATCTTTGAAGAGGTGTAGTGTCCAGGTCTAGAGCTGTTATGACATGACTTCTGTGAAGTGTTTTTAGGTTTTCTTTTAAAAATGATTTGAAGGATTTTAAAACAGACTCTGTGGTCATTATCAAGGGGAGTGGAAGTGCTGCTGGATAACTTTGTAACCTGTGTCAATTATAAAAGGTGCTAAAAAAAGTGCTCTGAAACATGTTTTGCACCCAGTGATTGTGAAAACAGTCAAATTGAAAGATCTTTGCAGCAGCAGCATCATGCTTACTTCCCCATCTGGATTACAGAACACTTTACAGTCAGGTGACACATTAAAGAAAAGTGAGAACACACTTGATATAGAACTAATTCACAAATTTTAACAGTTGTATTTATGTTTATCATAAGAAAGGTCCTGCAAAGTTTTTTCTATTTGTGGGGATTTTGGTGCCCCCTGTAGTCCAAGTGGTAGCTGTTATCTCTTTGCTGTTTTTGTATGTTATTCATGTTATACATGACTAAAAAAAAAAAGACAGAAAAACTCACTCTGCTTTCTTTATGAGTCCAATAAATGTTTTCTAGGTGTTGGTGCATCAGAGTTAATCATTTTATAATGTTATGTTTTTATGTTTATATCATTTTCGTACACTTTGTTTTAACCAGCTTAAAATAACAAGCGAAGGCCTTCATTTTCATCGACGCATTTATACATTGTGGTTTTCTCCACTATATTATATTCAGATCTCTTTTCAACAGCTGTGCTAATGAAGATTTAATTGTGCTTGAGGTACTTTAAAGTGAGCTTTTGTTCTTAAGCAGTAGAAGGATTATCTCAAGTATCTGAAATTATGTAATTTTACATAAACTGTTCTAAAAAATCTGTATTAGATTTACGTAAAGCTATCTCTGTGAAGGTGCTGCAGCAGTCAGTCCCCTTGTCTGGCCCACGCTGGCCTGCTTCGGCCTATCCTGAATGAATGAGCCACAGTCAAATGGCCTTGAGGCCTGATGGAACTTTTTCGACAGGATTACACAATCAACCAGGCTTCTAATTTAGCAGCTAATCCAGATTAAGGTGCTGTGGTTTGTCTGTGTTCCCAGCCTGGGTCTCAGACTCTGCTGCTGGGCAGAATCTGCAGCAATACAGCAAGTATTCAGTTTCTGTCTGAACACAGGGACGATGCTCCTGAATAATTTACAAACTGAACATCAGGCTCTGTTGAAGGAAGCTTGTAACTAGAGATTTAGACCAAATTCGTTTAAAAAAGAGTAATGAATCAAGGAGGGAGCAGGCTAATGGTGAGCAGAATTCCTCAGCTACTACTTGAGTTGCCCCTGCTGGTTGTTAGAAATAATGCAGGTTTACTGAGTGCTCATATTGATTTAGACCATAGCTATTTCGCCTTTTTTTCTGAGTATGTGAGTGCACCTGTGGATACAGAAGGCTGTCTCTATGAGAAGAGGAGGGGGCAGCTTGGAGAGTCCACTCACAGAAACATGTCTGCTCTAACTTTGCACAAACAGTAATAGCACTCTGAAAAGTTTCTTGTCTACAGTGTTGGGCAGTAACTCTGCTACATGAGAGCTCCCTGCCCTTCCTGGGGGTTAGAGGGATGCTAAAGCGTGCATCAGGGAGAGAGACAGACTGATTCACTGAGTAGATTAATGGCATTTTGACATAACCGGTATCATGGCAGCATCGGCCTCATTAGGCCAATCGCCAATCCTTTTCCAATTAAAAACACATTTCCTATCACCCATTGAAAGCATATCAAATCCAAAGCAGACATCGACTGCTGTTCAAATTGTATTGTTGAATGAATTTCTGCTGCAGGAAAAGTAAAAACGGCTGATTTTTATTGTACATATTTTCCCACAGAAGTTAAAAGAGTTTAAAATTACAACATAGATATTATGAATATTGTCAGTGATGGTCTTGTTTACTTTATCACATCATAGAGATGTTTAATGTTCATCTCAGTGTATCTGTAGTCTCCTCACAGTAACAATTACATGCAAGAAAAATTATGAGCTAAGCTATCAGCTGATAAAGGCTGGAGTGAGGATCACGTTACGGCCATTTTTTTCACATCAAAGTTGAATCACTCTGGTAAAGTCATAAATCAAACAGCCAAAGAGTGGCAGATCATACGGACATCAATCTCAAAGATTATCATTCACCGTTATCTAATGATGAGTCCATTAAGGCAGGGACTCCTTTTTCTGAGATAAGTTTACATCCGAAACAGAAACTTGTGATTTACTTCAAATTTGAGGGTCTGGAGTTTGCTGAAATTATTTGATCACAAAATTGAAAACTTCATCCGTAAGAGGAGGTAAAAAAATCTAACCACTGATAGAGCAATGAGCAGATTTGTGTCGCAAGTTGTAATTTCTGATTTAAAAAGACTTGTTAGCTGTTCATGCATGAAGATATCTGTTTATAAAGACTATCATTGACATTGAATGTGTATATATAAGGCTTATATGTTAAAGAAAATTGATTTGATGTACACTACTATAGCCTAGCTTGCTTCACTTCTCTTCATTATAGTCAAGCTTGATTCAATGTAGAGTGACTCAGCTCACTATATTTTACGAAAAGCTTGCTCAGTGCTGCTTACCAATGGTTTACCAACTTTGATCAGATTTAAGTGTAGTGGAGTTTCTTGGTTTTAGACACTAGCATTGCTGTTTTTGTGATCTTCTCCTCTTAATGCGTTCAGCATGGAGAATCTGACAGAGACTGAGAGAGAGAGAGAAAGAAAGAGAGGGACTGAGGGAGAGGAGCTCTGTGAACTATAAATAGACAGAGGGAGAGTGGTTGTGATGATAGCATCACCACACAATAATCCCTCAGTAGGAGTGGAGTTGCTTCACTGCACTACAGCGGTCCTGACAGTGAACAGGTACCCCCTCCACTGTCTCCTGTCAGCAGGGTTATCTGGTGAACCTGACCCCCTGACCCTCTGCTTAGCCCTGGCCTGTGTGTGTCCATACTGTATTAAGCTTGTTAACATGGATCTGTGGGTAGAGGAGCAGGTTTCACTCCTACCTGTGAGGTCTAAATGAAGAATAATCCTTTTACATTTGTAGTGTGCCACAGCTTATAGGCCAGTTACACATCACATCATGTTCATTCTCATTCTGGACATACAACTGGAAGCAGCAAGAGAAGGCAGGCTATAAATCAACTACAAACATCAATATTATTATCCACTAGAAATATGACTTTTTCCACACCAGACGCTGCCTTTTCTGCAACAATTTACTGTTGAAAATATGCCTCTTTAATTTTTCTCCTCAAAAAAATTCTTATAACATCCAGGACTGGCCTCTGCAGTTCTACAGCAGATGCATTTGCCAATAAAGCTACTTTTAATTTTATTTTAGTTCACATTGATGTAAAACCCAAACTCCAACCAGAACCGTATGTTTTCATCTTATTTGAAACAGTGCAATGACAGCATATCAAAAGATTTAAACAGAGTATCTGCTCATGTTTAGTTTGATCTGCTATATGTAGGGACAAGTGCATGTTTACGGTTTGGTTGCATCACCTCTTCTCTTAACATTTGGTGAAATTTGAGGAAAATTAGAAGTTTGTGGAGTTTTGAACTGAGTTTTGGACTCTAGCTGCTCAACATTGTAGGGTCTCTTTTATTGTACTTTTTGTTTTATAATGCACCAAATGTGTCCAGTGAATGACAAGCCAGGACAGCAGGCAGGTCAGTAAAGGACTCAGACCTGAACTCCTCCACTACTGAGCCATGCTGTCATAGTATGTGCAAAATGTGGTTTGGAAATGTCTAGCTGAAATATGAACGGTGTTCCTTGAAGATGGTGCCTTCAGAAATGTGTAAGCCACCCATGCCTTGGGCACTTCTACATCCCCATATCATCACAGATTTTAGATTTGAAACCATAGGCTGATAACAAGTTAGTTGTTGCACCTCCTCTATAAAGCCCATGAATGTCAAATTTTGCTTCATCAGACCTCATGACAGTTTTCCACTTGACCTCAGGCCATCTGAAACAGTCCTCTAGAGTTGATGTGTGTTAAAGTTTGAATTCCTCTTTGAAAACCACAGTTTGAAATTGCATTAATGGATGAAGCGATAAACTGTGTTCCAGGATAATGGTTTTTGAGGTGTTTTTGAGCTCCACTGCAGTGACCTCCACTGCAGAGTCATGTCTGTTGTTGACACGTGACCTGAAGATCACAGCCATTCAGTACTGGTTTTGTCCTTGTCTCTTTTGAAGGTAGATCTCAATGATTCTTGAAGTCTTTAAATGGTATTTTGCATTTGAGATCATCCTCAAACTCTTTACATATGATAAATTTTATTCTGAAATTGTTGAACTGTTCGCTCACACAGTCTCTCACAGAGTGGTGAACTTCTCATCTTCACTGCCGAGAGATTCATATAAACTGAATCAGTTGAGAGATAATCCTTCAGGTGATTTGGTTCGGTGTTACACAACTTCGTATAACTCCTCAAGCATTTTGTTGCCCCTTTCTAAACCTTTTTAAAAGACTACAGACATAAAATTTTGAAACAAGCAGACATTTTTTTAATATTTACAATGAAAGTTTTTAGTTAAACATTTGATAAGCTGTCTCCAACCTTGTAATGGGTTTGAATGATGCAAACCAACAAACTCTGTTTTTACCAACATTTAAGTGTCTTAACCTTTCTGGAACTGGGGTTGAAGTCTGACTAATAAACAAAACGGAGACAAATTATGTGGAAGATGTAGTATATTTGCTTGTTTCCAGCCTGTAAACATGTTTAATTCAGCTGTATTGTGGAGCATTTAAATATAAGGATCTACAGGAACTTACTCACTTTTGGCACCAGCCTCTAGTGGCCATTCAAGGTACTGCTCTTTGTGACGCTTCCTAATTTTTCTTTTGCCCTTTGCTCAAAAACCAAACGTTTTTAAGCACTGCCTGACCTAATAGACCAACCACATGTCTCTGCTACTTCTAAATCCATCAAGAGTATTAACCTTAATATGAAGCGTTCAACTCTGAGGTATCTAGTCACTCAAGTGTGCAGATCAGATTTTATAATGACTGACTGTAACATTTGCTCTTAATTAGTAATAATGAATTTTAGATGAAACAATGGTTCACGGATGAGACATCCAAGTTTAGTGTGGCTCATTAATCCCTTAAAAAACTTGCCATTTATGAGTGTGAGTGTGTGTGAGTGTGTCTCTGTTTTCTGAGCCCTTACTCTGAACAGTGTTCACCATCGCCCCACCCCTTCAGGCACTGACCTCCTTTTCATCGTTCACACATGCGGCACCTTTTTCTCGTCTCTTTCCTTCCCTGTCTCTCCAACATGCTGATTGGATTCATATGCATTTCACCTTATCAAGCTCAACTTAAAAGATCAAGTAAATTAAGTTAGAAACAGCGTGATAAAAAGCTGTGGGTGATAAAACAGAATTGCACATGCTAATGTTGAATCCGTCACTTTATGGACTGTTATCTTTGTTAACAGTGCTGCTCTATAACTATGACAAATGTGCCTTTTAATCCTCTGGGGTTTTGTCACATTTAAGGGAACAAAGTCGAGCAAACTGGAACAAACTTTTTTTAATACCAGCCTCTGCCACAGCAAAGAAACTTTAAATTTGGCACAATGCAGGGAAAAATTATAATATCAAGTATACAAGCCAAAGCATCAAGGTTTTTTTTTTTTTCACAGGAGCTGAGAGAGGGTAGGTGTTAGCCAAGCAGCTGAGGATAAAGAGTTTTTCCTATGGACAGGGGCGCCAAAATTGAGAAAATCATTACTAATATAAAGGTGATTTAATTGTCAATCTTGGAAAATAATGTTTGGTAAAATATTTATCACATTTCAATGATTTATATAACTTCCTCTACTTGGCTGTATTGTATTTCTTCCTTTTGTATAAATTCAACACAGGCTTGTGCACAACAGCCTCTAAGCTGGTTTGTTCAACTGGCTTTTACAGTGAAATTTGTAGTTAGAATTATTTATACCGTCATCGAAATGTAACTTCCATCATGTATGAATGAAGTGCTGCCGTGGGAGGAAAGCTTTTAGCTCAAAGAAACAGGCGTCGTATTATAATCATGATTAATTGTAACGTTACACACGTTGTTTCCTGCTGTCATAATGTTTATGATGTTTATCACAGAGCACTTAAGCCTCTGATGACTGTGTAAGTATTGTGCTGTGTCTGTGATGCAGAGCAGAGGAGGCTTATCGAGTATAGATCTGAGGCTCATGTAGTGCACATACAGAATACACACACACACACACACACACACATGTACAAGTGGGAGGATCGAATGTCAGAAGAGCAGCGTTTGCAGCAGAGGAGAACCAAATGAACAAAGTTTTAATAATATATGAACCTGCATTCAGATAGATAGATAGATAGATAGATACAGTAGATAGATAGATAGATAGATAGATAGGTAGATAGATAGATAGATAGATAGATAGATGGATAGATGGACAGATAGTTGAATAGATAGATAGATAGATAGATAGATAGATAGATAGATAGATAGATAGATAGATAGATAGATAGATAGATAGATAGATAGATAGATAGATAGATAAAGACAGGAATGACAGACATTTATTCACAAATCCGCTTAAAGTTAGTCTTTTCTTTGTAAAAGTTCAAGTTTAGTTTCATTTCTGTTAAATTGAAATGGTTTGGACTTTTCTTGATATGTTGTTAGTTTTTGTTAAAGCTCCTGTGAGGATTGTTTTTAATAGTAACAGTAGTATCACATTTTTAACAGCAAATATTCCCAGTAAGTGCTTAAGAAGCAGGATGAGGTTACTTTGTGAGAACATGCACTTCACCATACACATTAAAAGACGATAAACTAAAAGGTGTCCACAGGGGGCGCCAAAATCAGCACTTATCCAAAGTTTATCACAGCAGCTCTGAAGAGGAGAAGCTCAGCCATAGTGAGATGGTTGGTGGGGGGATGAAACATCCTCTGAGGATAAAATGAAGCCCTGCACACACACACGTACACACATACACATGCACGCTATCATGTTTCCTCCCTTAGCGCAGTGACTCACAGCTCCACTACCTGTATAGTAGTCCCTGTTACATCATGTCCTCTGCTGGAATACCCCCTCCCACACGCTCTTCCTCCCGCTCTGTGAGTGTTCAGTTCACAGCCAGAATATGTAATTAGAAACTTAGCGTTAGGTTTTAGTCATACAAAGCAGGATAATTATGAAATAAAACCTCAGAATCACTCACAGCTTGTTTCCATTTAGAAATAAGAGTGATAATGATCATTTCTCTCCATTAGCAGAGATTTAACAATGATATTCTCCCTTGTGGTGCAATTTTCATACTGTCATACTGCCCACGCTTATTTCAATGGCAGACACACAAAATTTGATGTTTCAGAAGAATTTCACGTTGTTCATATTGAAAAGAAAACCTATTTTAATTTAAGTTACATACCCTCACCCACTGGTATTAGATTATCTGAACAGTCAGCTGTAGAAACAGTGCCATAGATTTTATTGTTGATATTACCCGACACCAGCTGTAGATACATCATTGATAATAAAAACCTCTGATGAATATATGATATGTTGTCGTTGTTCAAAAGGTAAAGAGAAGAAGATAATATTTGAGGTTGGATGTTCAAAATCCATCATGGCTTCTTTACTTTGTGTCTAATCTGTCATTGCATTGAGGCCGAGTTAGTGGAAGACAAAGTTAAGATTCTGCAACTTATTCATATTTTTAGTCAGGTGTATAGTGTCTGTATGATGTTGTGTTTATTTGCTGTCCTTACAAGCTGCTGCTCCAGGGATCAGTTAAGTTGTTTGAACTGAATCAAATTTGATTAAATTAAAGTGCAGAGTGGATTTTTCCATGTAAGGTAAGAAAGTTAAATAGTTAAAGAGAGTGACACATTGCCAAAACACTTGTTCAACCTTGATCATGGTTTCTGATCCGCTAATTGGGTTAGTTTAAGGAGAGAAAATGCTCTGACTTGAAGACAAAAAGATTTGATTTTTTGCAGGACTAAAACTGGACAAAGGGGGCAAAAACAGCCTAAAATGACAAAACCTAAAAAGCTCTTTGAGTATGACTAGGATCACATCTGAAATAGCTGCCAAATCAAAAAATGTTTTATAGCTCAAGAAACTGTTTCTCACTCTACACGTTATTCCTCCTAAGGAGGTAAATTCATTTTTATTTTTTATCACATCAAGGCCAACAATTTTGCATAATTAGATTAACGTGGTGGTGACCACCATCATCTTTGGGCTTTATTACTTCTCTCTTAAAACTTTTGAGTAAGATCACTTAAGCTGCGTCCTTGTTTCTCACAGTCTGTGTGAAAACCTGGACTCTCACTAACTCTTTTCACTTCAGCTTGTGGTGATATAAACTGAAAATAATCAGCTGTGGTAATTGATGAATAAGTGCAGGAGTGTTAAAAGGACCTGATATTGGGATATTTGGCGTTGAGCCACAGTATGATTATGGCCTAATGATTATATACTTTGTTATAACCTGCTGTGTCAGCTTGGCAGCCGTTCAGTGGCTGATATCTGTGTCAGTGGTGCAGGGTAGTATTTGTGGAGATTACTGTTTGGGTCTGTAACTGAAGGATGGTGATGATGTGTGTTACACCATAATTTAGGATTTGTGTGGAGGCCAGTGGTGTGTGTATGCATGAAGCAGAAACTCAAAACCATCCCATGTTACACACAGCTGGTCATGCACATACAGTGACAATTAAACACAGTTAAATGCACGTTAAAGGAAAGTGGTTTGATTCTGCTTCACGATGTGTTTAAGTCAGACAGTATGAGCTCTGATCCTTTAGGTAATGGCCCCATAAGCAAAAAAAGCTCCTTTTTAAAATGGCATAAAAGATGTGTATTTTTCTTTGAATAAACCATAGAGTTAACTCATTTGGTCTCAACACCAAAAAATGGTGCAAGGATGTGAACAGACACACAACACTAATCAAGCATGAGATGCAAATCACAACTTTGGGTGAATTTCTTCCAGCATCTGTACAAATGCACGTAACTCTATTAACCACCTGCTAAATACTGTAGAAGCCTTCTCCTGTAAGGTCAGCGCTGACAATGTGGACTCCTCTGGGTCCCTGAAGGTGTATCAGGCACTAAGGTGTTAGCAGCAGATCCTTTGAGTCCTGTAAGTTGTGAGTTGGGACACAACGTACGGATGCACAATCAGATTGATATGTAGACATTTGAAAACCAAGTCAACTTTATTATTTTTGTGTGTGTATTTTCAGGTCATCTTCTTTTATTATTCCATGGTCCAGTTCTGTTCTGTTCTCTTTTTAAAGCTACTCTGAGGAGTTTGAGGTTGTTGCAAAATTTAATAGTCTGCAAAAACAAACAAGACCATTGCCGACAACATTTAACAAAGTCCCACAAAGTTTGTTGTCAAATAGCTGACAGGGTAGCTGTCGGACACATTCACTGACTTTTCACGGCCATAGCAGCTTTTATTTTGTGCTTCTGTGCAAAAATAACCAGTGAGTGCTGAAATGAAGCAGAGTGATATCTTTTGTTTGAAATCAATACTTACTCATCAAGAGTTTAAAATCAGCATAGAGAGAAAAGTTGCTTCTTTGTCCACAGGGGGGCACCACAGTTAACACAAACCTAAAGTTGCTCACAGCAGCTTTAACAACACTGACTTTAACTGAAGTGGAAACTTGTCATGTCACATGGGGCAGACTTGTGTAGTAAGAATAAGTTTACCTCAACTGGAAAGAAAACTGATGAATCGAGTGCTTACACATAGTTTAAATGATTATTGAAATGTATTTGAAGCATTTTTATTCTGTATTTCAGTAATCCATGCAAACATAACTAATTCACTTCAATTTCATCTTGTTTTTATTGAGGAACATTGTGTTGAACTGGGCTCAACTGGATCAGACCCTAAGGGTTTAAACTCTGATCTAAACCAGAGTGCCTTGTTGTGGAGAGGACAAGGCTCATGTGAACTGTGACTTAGCATCATGGTCAGACAGAACCAGACCAGGTTTTTCTGGACACTTTTCCCCAAATTTCCCATCTCTGTGAGTCTGCAGAAGTCTGCAGAACTCACTATACTTCTCAGGTTGTTGTTTCCAGAAAATCCCCCTCCATTTCACTTCCCCTTTGCTTGTTTGTTTGAGCCGTTTTGGCTGAAGAAGCGTGGAAGCACAGCATTTTCTTACAGGTTTGTTTTGGCTCACAGTCATGCTTGGAAGTAGAACATTAAACTAAATATTTAGAAGTCCATTTTTTTTTCTTTTCTTAACTTTCCAGTCGTTGCTATGCTCTGACTGTTTTTCAGTCTGTTTTTAACAAGATCAATTTTTGTATTGCTCAATGGCTGCTCCATTTTATTCCCTCTGCTGAAGCTGTTGCTAAAAAACAGTCTTTGAGGATCTGGCTCTGTATGTGTTCAATAAAAACAGCACAGAAGAAATCGGGAGTATGGAATCATGTAGAATATATCCATGAACTTTTACACAAATTCATGTACTGTAGGACTGCTTTGTTGTGATCATCAGCATATCTAGACTTTTAAATGCCTCTGATGCCCATGGTAAAAAAAAAAAATGTTATTTGTGTAACACGTTTTAAAATATTTAAAGCTTCTGTAGGGAATTTTCAGTGTGAATTTAATTTGGCGCCCCCCTGTGGACAAAGCTATCCCACTGATTGCTGTCCTGATTTTGCTCTTTAGATGCATCAGTGTGTCTGTCAAAAATGTCAGCCTGATTTCTTTCAACAGTCACATTTGTGACTCGCTGTGAAAAATGTTTTAGCTATACTCTGTAACTCTGCTGGGTGGCAGAGGTTTTAGGCATCAAAAAGGAGCAACTAGAAATAGATGTGCACAGACACAAGTAATACTGTTCCATCCTGGAGGCTCAGACATTTACAGTGACTGTAAGTGATTTCAAGTCTATTTTCAATCGGAAATATTATGAGGACAGCATATCAAAGGTTAAAACTAAAAAAAAGTTTTCCCTGTTTTACAAAAAAATTACCCTCACTGAAGCCTATGCTGGGTGACCAGGATAAAGGGGCTCCTTGGACATGCAGCACTGCATTAAAACCTACATAACTGCGCCGTGGAAATCACTGCATGGGTTAAAATCACTTCTAAGACCACATCATTGTTTTATTTCAAAATACAATTCATTGTTCGATCCACAAATGCAAGTTAAAACTGAACCATGCGGAGCAATGTTCAATTAAATCTGATTTTTTTTTTTTTTTTTTTGGAGTTGGGGATGTGTCATGGATATCGCATCCTCCACTCTGAAGAGCAGAGTGGCTATCTGGCTTTTTATCTGCACACAGTTAAAAAGCTGACATCCTTGATGGTAGGGGATGCATAAGTGCCTGCAGTGTTGATAACTTCCACATGTGGGTAGGCATCACTGATGCTGGACAATATTAACAAGTTCTAGAGCAACAGATTCTGCCATCCAGATGACTTTTACGGACCTTGAAGCATAGCCGAGCCATATTCTGTGTGTATAACTACATTACAGCTCTGAAGTAGAAGAGTCTTGATGATGTCCCAACTTTTGTTTCAAATCATGAAACGAAAATGTGACAAGGAACACCCCAAACGGTTTAGCTGCAGCATTTCATTTTATTGAGTCCCAACCTTTTATGGAAATGTTCCCAGTGCTAACTTAGCAGAGAATCAACTTCACCATTACACCTGTATTTTTACGTCTCAGAAAAGTAACACATGCATTGTAAGGGTTCCTTCCTGAAAATCAAGTTTAAAAAGGCTGTTATAATCAATCCTTGTTTAAAATGCAACCCAATAATTGTATATTATTATTGATGCCATGCCTCTATCTCCCTGCACTGTGAAAATAAATGGAAGCCAGTATACGACCCAAAATGGGCATTAAAATATTGTACTGGTTGTATTGTATTTATAAGCCAAAATATGTGCAGAAGCAGTGTGGCTGGTAAATGAGTTTAATGATCAAATAATTAAATGCTACATAAAATGAACACTTGCTCATAAATCCACACAATGGCATCTAACTGCAGTGACTAACAAGTTGTTTGAGGAAGTGTTTCTGATGTGCATTTTCATTAACTAGTCTGACCCATGTCCCAAATGTTATAATGATGAGCTTTACAACCTAAGCTGCTGCCTGTCAGCAGGGGGAGCTTTAAAAGTTTTGGCTTCATTTGTAGGGAGAAGTTGTGCAGTCCATTTTTTACACAACCCAGATGTATATACAGTAAATAAGCAAATGAACTTACCATACTGTACATCCTTGATAAAGAAGCTGGGTTACAGACATACTCAGCCTACAATCTG